GATTTTAAGCAGCGATGACGAGGACAATTAATATATTTTGTATTATGTTATATTTCACTGGTGTACTATGAAAATATAACTATCTTATGCTATGCTGGACTCCTCTTGGGTCCTTTTATCAACTTATGTCGTATTCCAATATAATAATGTTTTCTTTCTAATTAGCCCTTGTAGATTTACTCCTAGTATATATTTTTTTAGGTTATAATTATGTTTCTCGTCCGCTTCGTACCGCAGAATTCAGTGAATTCACAGCGTGGCAACACAAAGGTTATGAGACATTATTTCTATACTAAAACCCAAACTCGGTGTACTGTTCACGGACAGTAAAGTGGCAAAAATGCCCTTGGCTGCTGCTAATTCTCAAGCTTTTTCCTCTGTTTTGAACATTGAATTTACAGTTTTACCCCTGATGTCCACGTGTTGGTCATCGTGGAAAAGGAATTCACGGGTCGCACTCATCTTCTTTCTTTTCTGCTTCTCGAGAGCTTTCTGAGATCAAGTTCACTCGCGCTGTTCCTCCGCTTCTTTTTATCAAATGTCCAACGTTTGCATCTTTCTCTCGCCGATTATCCACGGCGGTTTTCTTCCTGGAAAACTGCTCCACTCTTGCGAATTTCTTTCATTGAAAACCCTATAGCGGCTAGAAGTTTCTCAACTTTTCGTTTCGTTTCCACCTCTCTGTCACAAATCTCTGCTTCAATCGGCTCGCAAATCTCTGCCGACGGCGGTTTTTCTAGCCAGAGAAACCCCTGAAGGTTTATTTTTGGTTCAGCAGCTTCTTGATTGTTCAAATCTATGGTCTAGGTTGTTGGGGATTTCTGGGTTTTTTTTTAGCTTTGAAGTTTGGGTTTATCCCTTTGTGCCGTCTGCAACAGCACCACTGCGCTCAAACACACACACTTTCTCTCTCTTGCAGTCTCTCCTCCCCCATACTCAATCCTCTACTTATTCTCTGATTCATGTTTGGGGGATTTGTAAAAAGGCTTCGAGTACAAATTTGGGATAGGATCTGGGTTTTCTCTGCATTGCTTAAATTTTGCATTTTTTTTTTTTTGGATTTCAATTAAGAAATGAATAAATTTAGTTGTAATTTAAAGTTTTTGATTTTTTTTTTCAATTTTATTATTTCCTATGCAGAACAGCTTTGATCTTCCACATGACTACTTTGCGCTGCTTCCGAAATATCTCCGTCTCGATGTGAGTAGGTTTTTTTTCAATCTGTGTGAATTATCCAGTTTTTTTTTTTTGGGTCAAAATCCAGTTGTTGAATTTGATAAAGAATGGGACTTTGAAATGACAGAGACAGAGAGAGAGGGAGAAGTATGGTTGTCCAAAAAGGGGTAGGATTGAGCGATTGGAGACAGACAAAAAGTGAGGGAGAGATGTAGGGCTGATTTTCTGGTTCTACCCAAAAACCTACTAAAAATCGCACATTAGTGTTTTAGGTTTTACTCCACACCAGCAGACGATGAGAGTTCCAGAAACTCCAGCCCTTCGCCGCTGTCTCTCCATTTGTTGTCGTCAGCTCATTCGCAACCATGGTATTTTCTCGGACCAATTTTCTCTTATCCTCTGTTTGATTCCTGTAAATTAAGCTGGTTTCGGCAATTTCCAGGGCGAAGTTCTACTAGGAAAATTTCGTTGATTACTATTTACTTTTATCTTTCCAATATATTTGGATGCTATATACTAACATTTACAACTCAACTGAATCTATGAACTACCATTTTATGTTATTTTTCTTAATATTTCTCTAATGGATCCTGCAATTTTGATGAAGCTGAAGTATAAGTTTTTGTTTATAAACAAAAAAAAATTTATTTCTTAGCATATTTTTTCTCGAAATGTAAGCTACATTCATGATAGACTAGGCATTGGGCATATATAATAAGTAATAACCATAATAAATGATTTACTTAGGTGAATATTTGTTGATAATCCCTCTATGCGGATTGAAAAATATGAGTATGTTCGTTCTAATTATGCATCTTTTGAGGTAGGCAATAGCAAGAAAAAAGTCAACGACTTTGATAACATGACTAAATAACATTCATAATTTCTTCGCTACTCTTGGGAACTAATTCTATGTGGAATTTTGTTGTATGGACTATGGAATAAATATATGTTGCATGATGTGACTTATTCGAGTTTATTAGAGGGTTGTGGGGATGCCTATGGAAAGACAAGCTCAGGTCCTTTCCATGTTCTTTTGTAATCTTTCTTTCACAGTTGGAAAGGGGGAAGTTTTGTTTCTGGGATGATATTTGGGTTTGGATTCCTATTTCAGTGTCATTTTCTCCCATCTCTATAGGATCTCTTTGCCAATCTTCACAAAATTACACAGGTTGTTCACTGTTCGGCTTCCCTTCTCGATGTCTCCTCTCACTTCTTTCTTGCAACAATTTGTTTTTTGTCTTAATATCAATTGAGAGTGTTGAAGGGATGTGCAAATAGATGGGAAGAAGTAGAATTCATTTTGATTAAAGAAAGTGAGAATTAACCTTGCTGTTTTATACTTCTTGGTTGTTTTGATGAAGTTGGGAATAAGTTAAATAGATTGACTGTAACTACCAGTATATGGAGGAAGGAGGAGAGAGGGCATAATAATTCAATTTAGTTTCCATCTGTACCTTCTGCATTTCCAATGGCAATTTCGAAACTTCTCTTTTCTGCTTCTAAATTTTTATGCTTTCTGGGTTTTTTTATGGCAGTTTTGGGGAAAAGCATAACAAGGAAGAGTACTACTACAATGATGTGAGTGCCCTCTATCCTTATTATGGTCAAATGGGGGTGCAAATTTCATATTTTTCTTAATATGGTCAAATGGTATGCAAATGAGATTGGGTTAAGCTTTTGGGTTTAACTCTCTCGCTCTCTTTGCGTTTGGGTTCCATTTATGGTTTTCTTTCTTCGTTACTCTATTTCGGTTCTCCTTTGGTTTTAACCCCCTTTTTTTTTTCTTTTTTTTTTTTTTTAATTTTGTTCATTCATCTTTAACTATTATCGGCATATCATGATATTTAGAGAAAACTGAGAAATTGAAAATTTTGAATACTCAAAGCATGCCCTTCTATCTAATGCTCTCATAAAAAAGTCCCATGGCCACGAGGGGAGTATATAAGACTGATGAGGGTCAAGTGTCCATATCAACTATAAAGGGATTGTGTATCCAAGTATTTGGAATCTTAAGAAAGAACAATAATTTAGTATTATGAAAGGTTTTGACTATTAGTTTTGATCCGTGGTCCTGATTGGTAGTTTTGGACAAGTAACGTATTCTCTTTATCAGAACGATGATTAAGATAATATTGTTTAAATCATTATCTCCTTATCTCTAAATCTTTTAGTGCAGTACTAATAATTTCACTGCTAATGAGAACTTTACTTGGGATTTTCTTTTGTGTTGTCACTTCTGATTTTACTGATTAATGTATTTCTTGAAGGTAGTGACGTAATCATAAGAAAAAGTTGAGTTCTTAGTTCATTGCAAGTCGACCCATTGCCATTCATTGCAAGTCAACCCATTGCTAGGTATCTCTCTCTTAAGATATTACCAATTAGGTGTATTTATACTCTTATTGGATGTGAATTTTTAAAATAATGATGTAACTGGTTGATAACCTGTGCATCATTTGGAGTTTAAACATACCACTTAAATTGTGGGTAAATGTAACTGTGAAACTTATAAACTATAACCTCATCCATCATTTAGACATCACTCAAGTTGTAAGGAAATGTAACTAGCCAATTTATGAAAATTATTAGCACTTAATGTACAATTGTATTTCACAATTTTTGTGAATAATCTATTTATCAGCAGAATGTGCTTTAAAGAAAAAACAGTTCATAGAGTAAGAGAAACAGCCAAGTGCCACTGTGTTAAGATTCTAGGACTGCTGAATTGGAATGCTCAGAGAAACAATATGCATAGGGATCACTAATAATGTTTTTTTGGTGTATGTATCTCATATGTTGAAGGCACCCTAACATTGAAAACAACACTTCTTTTTGTACAAACTTTGCATTCTGCTCCTCACGGATGATCCTCAAGATGTTGTGGTGACACAACAGGTTAAACTCGCTTTTTTCCTTTAACCAAATATGTGTGGATTGATGGTGGACTATGTTTAGTGAATGTGTATTTGAGCTCTGTAGATGACTGCATGTTGTGTTGACTTTAGATTTTTGTTATCAATCATTCTTTCAAGTGCTTATTTGAATCATTTAATCCCAAATTCAAAAACCAGAAACTGCCTGATAATCTCTGTAAGTTCTTATTTTCTATGATCTTTAATATTGTACCTTAGATGCTTATTTGTGAAGATTTTCAGTAAATGATTGCTTATTTGGCTTTAAATTTGTGATTTTTGTTTAATTTATTCGTCTTCTTTCAAATTTATGTGCAAATATTTTTGAAGCCCAAGTGATTCAAAGTTCAAATTTATTTGTAAAGTATAAGTGTGGGTGTGGACACCCAATATAACTTTTACATGGTGTTGCTATCTGGTATTTGATAGAATTATATTGGGGACTGTCTAAATTTTGGGTTTAGCTGCAGATGAAGCGAAATAAAAAGGTTATAAATTAGAGGTATAATTTAATTATTATATTTGATGCGTCATTTGATTAAATGAATACAGTAGGAACATTGATTTGACGTATGTGTTTTCGTATGGAAAACTGAATTTTGTGTGTTTATAAGTGCGTATATACTCAATATTTATTTTAATTAAAATGGAATTGACTGAAAATTATGGAGAATTAGTGTAAATTTACACACTTGAAGAAATAGAATGAAAATGTAAGTAAAGAAAAATTAGAATGTAATACATAATATCTTTGTGTGTGTGTGTGTGTGTGTGTGTGTGTAAGGGATTGATGACTAAATGTGCTACGTTAAGAGATTGCTTATTTCGTTAGTTAAGGGCAGCAGTTGATAGAAGCATAACCAAACCCAGATAAGAGTCACATTTGGAATTGTGCAAGGTTGCCACTCTTTGCCCCCTTTCGATTGTGATCGAGTTTATTGTTTTGTTCTTTCTTATTGTAAATGTCATTTTGTTTGTAAAGTTTAGTTTATAAACTGTACTTCTATTTACTCTTTGAATTTATTTTTTTGTTTATGTTGTCGTTTCTTGATTTTAGTTTCTGTGGATTTATATGGTTCTGATTACAGAAAGTATTGTCATTGGACAAAAACTCTTACAAGCAAGCTGCAAATCTGTTCAAAGAAACCAAGATCTGTTAATATCAAATACGTCAGCCATTGGCAATGGAATAGTATGTATTATTATTTCTCCATTCTATAGTCATATTAATAATCTTTTAGAATCCTTTTGCTGTAACACTTGCTTTAATCTGGATTTGGTCTAACTTAAATGCATTTCTATGTACTGCTTGAAGAAGCAAAACAATTCTGGTTTGCTTTTGTTTTGTACTCGGGGTGTAAAGATAATTCTCTTCTAAGCAAGCTCGCTTATCTTTGAACTCTTTAACTGATTTGTGCCTGCAACAAGATTTTTTTCGGACTTTCTGCAGTGTATTTAACAGTATTAGGTCTCTGTCCTGCATGTCACTAGGTTTACTCATTTTTCAGTTCACATTGATCACGGATTTATAGTTGATTGCATTTCATTTTGACTTCTTTAAAAGGGGTTTTCATTAGCATGTCTGACATGATAAAATCGTGTCTTTTGGATTAATTCAAACAAAGTAAACATTTCATTCGTATTTGTGATCGTTGTTAATATTATAGTTACATGTCTACGAAAAAGGATTTCTTTTAATGAATAATCTGTTATTACCCTAAACAAGTTAACTTTGCTAATAGTTTGCTGCTTAGTATGTTATGTTCCTAGGTAACATGCTTCTGAAATTAGGATTTGAACCTTCTGCTCCTCTGCTTTTTGATTTGTATATATGTCAAATTTCTCTCAATTGCTAATGGATTTATTTTCTTTTGAAATTTCAGAAAGTTGGGTCGTGGGAGGAAGAAGCTGGTTCGTTGCCATTTTTAGGTATATAATCATGTGCCCTGATAGCATATTCAAAGCCTATTTAGTTATATGGATTTTTTATTTATCTTTCTAAAACTTTTGTGCCTAGATTTTAAATATGTGATTGGTAATTTCTCACCATGATAACTATCAAGCATGTGATCGTTATTCATGAATACAAAACAATCCAAAACCTTCATTCACAAATCACAAGTATATGATGAGCTATTTAGAAGTTCGACATTTTCGTCATCCAATTCAATACCATTTGGGATACTATGCTAGAATTCTATTACAGGTCCAGTTAAGAGATGTGAAGCATGAAGAATATCTCTTTAGGAAGTGTTAGCTAATCCGATTAATTGGTCAACAAAATTAGCCATTTTCGTCATCTAGATTGGATAACCTAGGAAGAATGTTAGAATGATTGATCATATTCGTTAGCCCTAATCATGTCACGAGTAGTGTCTATTTGTATTTCAATCAGTTTAACTCCCCTTTTAACCCTTGAATAAGGCATTACCAGTTTCTGGATTGATTCTACATTTTAGTCTTTTTTTATGCCTAATACTGTTTGTTATTCTTAATTTTTCCATTTTGTAGTTGTATAAGTTTTCCATAGGCTTCGATCATCTCCCCAATAAACCCAGAGCCTCATTTTCTCCTGCTAAGCAAAAGAAAATCAAGGAGGCCTGCAACTTCGTATGCAGTCCGCCACTGCAAATCAGTCTGGAAACTGGAAAATTCAAAGGTAAAACACACCAATATCTTTGATTTTGGTCTCTACTGCACAGTTTGACAGACAAATGATAAACCTAACACATGCATGCTCTGATTTCCTTGGTAGGTCATATTTTTCACTTTCTGGATGTGCAAAGTTTGGATAGTACACATCACCGGGCCAAACCTTTCTCAGGTAAGGAATTACATCGCGTTTGTTGAAAATATTTGCTTCCTTTCCTCTGATGTATGTATATGCATGATGTATGTGTGTGATTTTAGATTGTAATGTATCACAGGCATGAAAATTGATATTTGTAGACTTACCCTTTATTTTTTGGCTGTGATGGGGGAAAGGAAAATAAAATTTCAAAGATTGATACTTTTATGTGATTTCTTGGCTCTTTTTTTCATATGATTTTCATTGTATGTGTGCCAGTGTATGTCTCTTCTTGAAAAATGCATGTTGAAAATGGGAGAATTTTGGACATTGACATGTTTAGAAGTCAGGTTTTCTGAATGAAGATACTCTTATGATTTGTTTGTAATTTGTTTTGCAAATGGGTAGGAATGTCATTCTAAAAGGATATTGGCAGGAGGGGGTGGAATGTCATTCTAAGATATATATATCAGCAGCAAGGGTGTGGAAGCTCACACGCTCAGATTTCAACGCGTTTCGAAGGTGGAAATGACAAGAATGTGCAGTGTGGACTTCCAATTTCTAGTGCTATGATGCATGAGGACTGCCAAAGTGAGAATACTGGTTAGTTGTCATCAAGCAGCCCTTGTAGATGTGTATTTTGTTTATATATTGCTAGTTTAACCATTAGTACGTTTGACTTGGGGATACAAGCTTGGATATGTTATATTTTGTTGTATATAGAGAATCCCGGGTATGTCCAGCATAGGATAACATGTATTTTTTGGTTTAACATTTGGATGGGTTGTATTGTTAGGTTGCATGAATCGGTCTTAGCCGAGAACATGGGTTATGTAATATATTAACTTCACTATTTTAGTGCTAATGTTGATTTATGTTTAGTTTGTAATGGATGATTTGTAAGTTTCTAAATTTAGGTGGAAATTAGGTTCTATGAGCAACCTGATGATTTCCATGTTTAAATAAAAATATCCAATTATGCCACAAATTTTTAATTGTGCTGGAGTTTTATTGTATTTATTAAAATATAGTAGTGGCACAATTTTAAAGTTGTGCCCTTGCTTTAACATTTATACAGCAATCTAAGCCTTTAAAATAGCAATTGTGCCCATCTTACACCATACATTCAGTAGCCTTTATTAGAGGTAAGACACAATAAGGGTTGTATTTGTGCTTAGCTTTGGGCACAAAACATCATATTGTGTGCTATAAGTAATGGTGACGCCCATAGAGGGCACATATACAAACTTAGTTGCTGCACTGTTGCTATTGGTCTATGAGCACAAATGTTGGTGCTTTTTGGCCTCAAAAGGCACATATAATTTTTTGTGTGCAGTGCTCATTTTTTTTGTAGTGTAACATCTGGTTAATTATTATTATTTTATTTTGTTTAAAGTCTGGTTATTTTCTTGGAATTTGATATAATATAATAACACTAATAGGACTCCATTAATTGAAAATTCGAGGTTAGTGGATGGCTAAAGAAAATGAGAGAGATAAAATCTAAAACTAATGACAGAGTTATAGAATCCTTATTCTTCTTCATCCGTCACTGTGAAGGTGGCCCAACATACGCATGACACAAGTGAAAGAAAAACAGCAACAATAAAAGGAACACGAACATCTCGGATATATAATCATCCATGATAAAAAGAAAAACAGCAACCATCAAAGGAACACGAACATCAATCAATTAACTTGTTTCAACCACATTACACTTCAATTCCTCTGCATAAATAATCATTCATGATAAGAAAAAGGATCCCAACCTAATAACCTATACAAACACCCAACTTATATATATTCTGCAAGAAGGACAAACATACTACTCAAGTCTAACTAATTGTATGGGAATGGGGGTGGGAATGGAATTCCAGATGCTTGTGGGATGTATGAGTTTGGAGGTGCGGATTTACAGGGATCAGTGAACATGAAAATAAAGCCGATAAAAACTAGGAGGAGGTAAAATAGGAAACACATCACAAATCTGCTAGCTCGAGCTGTGTTTCTCTCAGCAAGCCTGATTATCTCCATTTTTGAGAGTTGCCCAATCAGGTAAAATTTTGGATCGTCGTTCGGAATTTTCCCTTGCCTCTTGCCCAACTTTAGTAGATCTCTTTTTTTCTTCAAATTGTTTCTCTTCAATTTCACAATAAAAGCTTTTGATGTTTTTTAAAGTAAATGGCAGACAAATGTAGGAGCACAAATGCAAGGGCAACGCCACAGGTTACAAAGACAACGCCTAAGTACAGGAGACGGCATTTTATCCTTTCCGATTTGTTACCGTGACGTACCACAAACCCCAAGATGGCCACAAAAATGGCGCACGCCGTGGCCGCTAAATTTAAAGAGTGTTGCATTGACTCAACTAACCTTTCACGCTGCTTCATGAGATACTCAAGCTTTTTTTCAATCTTTTCCATCTTGTGGTCAGCAACTTCATGATCGATACGCGGCGGCAGCAGCAGCTGATCCATCTCCATATTTCACAAGTTCATTCAAAGCACAAAAGTACAAGATAAATCAATACAACTAAATATAAAAAAAAGGAAATAAATGAAAAACAAAACATTAACAAAAGCAACAAATCCATAAATTTTTCCTAACCCTAAAAATGACATCTTTAGTACTAGAGGAAAAGTTTCAAGAAAAAAGATCAATGACTTTGAATATAACTTAACCCATTGCTAAAGGAGAGATACCTTGATTTGAGCCGGTACGTAGATGAAAATGGAGAAAGAGAGAGAAAACTTGTGTCTGTAGTTTTGGGTTTCAAACTCTTCGCTGATGTCTGATGCATGGCATTGCATGCCAATTTATAGTAGCATTTTTCTTAAATCCCAAAAGTACCCTTCGAAAACCTACTCGATAATTTTCCCAAAAGCCACTTCCTAGTTCCTGTGAAAAATAATCCCAAATTTGATTCATTATTTAGTCTTATTTTGAATCAACGTGCAGTGCTCATTCGGATACAAATTAAGTAATGATGATGGGTGCATAGGTCATGGTTTCTTTTTTTGCTTTTTTTGTGAAAGCATAGTTGATAGTTGAATTTGAGCAATAACGAAAGAGTATTGAAGCTAAACAAAATACATCCCCTCTTTGATCTAACTGATATCAGTGTAATTGAAATGTCACATTGTTTAAAAAATTTCCTTCGGTTTTAATTTCAAGTATGAGCTGATTAAATTTAGTTTTCTCTCACATCAAAATAAACACGTTAAAACTGATTTTGAGTACATTACAGTTCACATGAGATTTTGGTGCAATTTCGAAGACGCCTGCTACTGGAATTTTGCGTAGTTGTGCATCGAGCTTGATTTGGACTGATTTGACAATCTTTCGTGACTTGAATTATAGTTTTGAATTGCCATTCAATATAATTAAGTTTTAAGTTTTCTTTTGCATTTTTTCTTCCCAAACTAAAGTAATTAAATCAAAGATGGAATTAAGTAGTGAAGTTTTAATGACATGGTACATGCCACAAATGTCATTTGGTATTCATATTTGATGAAAAAATAAGTAACAAAAAATAAAAATATTTGGACAATGTTTATGTTTTCCTAAGCCTAATAGGATAAGTGCAATAAATATAAAAATGCAACTAGTCTTAGTTTTCTCTTTCCTAGAAAACATTTAGGCTCCTTTTCTTGCTAATAAGTTAAGGTTGATTTAGTTTCCTTTCCTTGCAACAATGTCAAAAAATATTGCATACGACTTTTTACTTATAGCCATTGGTACGAGGATGGCATGTCGTGATGTATAAAAGAAGCCTACCGATCAATATCTATCTAAAAATAAATAAAAACCATTTGATAAAGAAGAACTTTTACCATGTTTGAAAATGATATGTCACAAAGTGTGAGGAGATAGGTTAGGACTAGACTACTAAATTTACTCGGTTTACCATGTTTGAAAATGATATGTGACAAAGTCTGATGAGAGGGGTTTGGACTAGACTAGTAAATTATGACCTTACTGTAGAAGCAAAACTTTTAGCGTAAGGGAAAAGAAAATTTCATCAAATTTGAATAACAATGTTCACATCAGAAATTAAAGTGTTAAACAATCATTCTGACTCAAAACAATGTACAAAAGTGTTTAAAAATATGGTTGAATTTTGCCATTAATCACATCCACGCGAGATATTTTGAGTATTCTTCCTGAATCTCATCAAAACCTTGTCAGTACAAGCCAATAAATATGCGCGTACCGCTTCCGCCATTAAGCTGGACTCGCATGGAAAGTTTCCAACGCCGCCACCACCCTTGAAAATACATGCATAATCCCGAGCCGCCCATCCATGCCCTCGTCGTCAAAATACATTTTAACCAATTTCCACAATTCACCTTAATTATACAACACGACGATTAGAGTAAACAACTTTAGTAGAAGACAAGAAATAGAAAAGAAAAAACTTTTGCAGATGACGCTTTATAATCGCAGTCGTGAAAAGCAATGATAAAGGAAGTGAGTAGTCAGTTTGTATTTTATTTATTATTTTCTTCTTTATTTTTATTATAACTTGTGGTAAGAAAGAAAGACATCGTTGCGTAGGGTCAGAGAGGCTTTTGACCGATAGAGAACTTGAAGAGAAATTAGGCAGTCTAATAGGCTTTGACCATGCAAAAAAAAAAAAAAAAAAACAGACTAATAGGCCAACAGTGGTGACGTTTTTTTTTTCCTTCCATTTTTCATGAATAATTATGATTTTTTTTTTCGTTAACCATTTTGTTTTTTCAGAATGCAACAGACCCCTTGAGACGAGACCCCGGGGGGCAGCGAGTGTAGTTTACGGAGCGGGAGTCCTAGTTCCAATAGCGAAGGAAGTACATTTTTCACATGATTTTTCCAAGCTTTGATTCGACTGTTATAATTCCAATTATCCAATTAGCATTTGCACTTAAAAAACAAAAAGACCTCCACACACATTTTCTTTCTCCTTAGAGCATTTTCACCCATAGTCCAATTGCTAGGACAATTGGGTTGAACTATCCTTGGTCCAAAATAATGATAGTGCAACGGTGCAAAAAAATGGAAGGCAACTGGGCAAAGGACTTGTGCCCTTTCATTTGCTCTTGCAAGAATATCCTTAGCTTGTGCCATTGCAGCTGTCCAACTGCACCGGTGAGGGTCACCCAAGTGACCGTTGGATTTCAACATTTAAAAAAATTAAAAATTAAAGCTTGTCTATGTGGCAAAATCTAGTGAATCTGATTTGAATAAAATTTAGTAAATCAACAGCCTGAGTTAATTTGAATCTAAATAAATCTAAAATACTACAAGTGTTTTTTTTTCAACATACTTAAAATTTAAAAACATACTTAAAATTAAACACACCTAACAACTTACAAGGTTTAACCATCTTCTTGATTTGCCTTTTATTTTTAATTAATTATGTTTATTTGTACTGCTATGTTTTGTTTTGTATTTAAAAATTAAAACTAAATTATTGAAGTTAAAAATAAGGTGTTTTATTTTCAGAGAACAAATTTACAAAACATAAAGCATGAAAAATCATTTTATAGAGTCCTTATTCTTCTTCATCCGTCACTAAGAAGGCGGTCCAATAAAAGGAAAGACAAACGACAACAATAAAAGGAACACGAGCATCTGGAAAACTTGTGTTGCAAGGATTGTGATCAGTTAAAGTAAATTTCATTTCGGTCAACCAATGGGTAAAATATATATATATATATATTCTCATGTCTTTTATAGCTTTATATTCTATATTTAACTTGTAATTACTTTCTGCTGTTATGCAAAATGTGCAAAAGTTTTATATGCATCCAGATGCCAAAGTGTGGGTACCTAAACTTGGAACCAAAAATAAATTGTTCATATGATATTAGTAGTATCTTTTGATTTAAAGGGAAAGATTGTCAAATG